CAACTTTAAATGTGGTCAAATGATCTGCAAGTTTGACCAGAATTATGAACGATGGATTCTATTAATCAGGTGATGCAAATCGGGACGATCCGAACCGATTTCCGATTGGTAATTCAAACCTGGATTATAAAGCTGGCCAAAATTATGAAAATTGCACTGCGCAGCCTCAAAAAATGCCTGCGCAGCCTGCGCAAGCTGCGCAGTGAAATAGTGCGCAGTGTCCCATCTCTAGTGACGAGTAAGCATTAATGCTTATTAGCCATGCCCAATGATTCATCACATCCAAGTGCCAAACAGATAATGGACTTATAAAAATTAATTTTACGAACCATACCTACTATCAAAATTTTACTCAATCTTTGTACGTTGTAAAAGGCAAGATCACCCTACCCGAAATTTTTGTTGCAGTACGGAGTGGTACAAGTTTCTTGCATTCCCCGAATTCCTGGAATTTGTGTAATAAAGAAATTAATAGGGAAAAAGAGTAAGACAAGAAAAATAAGAATAATTAGAAAACTAGAATTCGCGTTATTCTTGTATATGTAAAAATAATTTCGTCTCGGAAATCGGCGAGTCTGTCGCTAATCTAGTGATGGACCACGCGCAGGATTTTTAATGAGACTATTTGGCCTGCATTAGCATATCATCTGGCCTGCATTAAATATTATCCAGCCCGCATTAACATTAATGGGCCAATTTCTAATTTATATATTCATATATATGCGTATCCTTGATTTAAACTTTTTTTGCGTTCTTACTATTTCTTGTTATAATAAATATATAACCATTATTAAGTCATTATTTAAACAACGTTATCATAATAACATGGGTGTTAATAAACTAATTTGACATCATTTTGAAAAACTTGGACCAGACCCAGATTATAAACAAGGGCGTGCTAAATGTATTTAAAATATATTATTTTAACAAGAAATTATATTTCTAGTGATCATCTTTATATATATATTTATAATTATGAAAAATTAAAAAACTTTACTATATTCCGCGAATCCCGCGCGGGATTTTTAAAAACTACGATTTGCCCATTACAACATACAGACAAGAACCCACCAGCCAAATCTAACACGCCTGTTTCGACTTAGCCGTCATAGGTTACGCGAAAGTTGGAATAGATTAGTGACAGACTCACCGATTTACCGAACGACATTAGTATACCATTCGAATGACATGTAAATCACGTTTGGCTAGTCATTGGATCCTGAAGCATGTATGCGTGGCTTGACTTGCGGATCGCATTTGACACGTTACTTGAATAAGAATAGTGGTTAATTTTTATCATATGCCAGTTTGATGATCGTGGTCGATTTCCGCCGTCGGGCCACTCGAATGCCTGGTTGACCTCATCACGAGATTGATGGGCCGAATGTGATTTACGCGTCATTTTTGAAGGTCAATAGTGAGGTAAGTAGAGATGGGCACGCGCGGGATTTTTAATATGATCCTAAAATAAGATTATCTTGCCGACATTACCATAACATCTAGCTAGCATTAATATAATATATGGTCTGCATTAACTTATTTAGCTAAGTCACTCTTTTAAAAATAAATATAACATGCGTAGTAATAATGATATTTGGAATCATCTTACAAAAATTGGATCAGATGAAAACTTTAACCGAGGACGTGCTTAATGTAATTACTGCGATTAAACCTTGCAAAAAAATACGTGGAAATTCACTATATTGATTGGCCAACGGCAACGACCAAAAATTTAGGCAAAATTACTGAAATTTTTAGTGAAGAAATCGTGGCCGCCCATTAGGGTTGGAAAAATTTGTGGTCTAATGAATCCCGCGCGGGATCACGCACGGGGTTTTTGGAGAAACAGCAATTTGCACATCTCTAGAGGTAAGTGCCGAAAAAAAAGTAGTGATATATCCTTAGATTTATGCATCATTAGGAGACAGGATTCGTTTACGAATAAGTTTTATATCTTTTAATGCTTATTTGATTGCAGTCCTTAGCTCTTTTGTATAGGCATTGATATTTAAATGCCTGTTCGAGGAACACTTAGAGAAAATCAAATTTTGACATACACAGATAAAGGTCCACTTTGGCATTATAGCTTACAGAAGTGGAATGCTTCGAACATTCTTTATTGATCACAAAGCTTTTTATAATTTTTATAAGATAATGTAAACTAATGATCAGTGATCGATCATTATAAAGAAATTATTAAACGTATTATTAAATAAGAGACAATTACAGATAACATGATAAATATAAGAAATAAAAAATAATATTAAAAATAATATTAATATCAAAGAAAAAATAAAGGATAGGCACAATTAACAGCATAAGCAGAGTTGCTATCGGACCAGTTTTTAGACCATTTTGATATATTGTAATCCAAATACTTTTTATCCGCAACCAGGGCATGCGCGTTTGCACTTCTTCCTAGCACAACATTCAGCCCCAACAATTGGGATATAACAGTCTTTACAAGGGCAACCACGACTATGAAGGGTGCGAACAGTAACTTTTTCGGTGAAGCCATCAAGCTCAATATCAGAAGGAACACCCTCCGTTTGGAGAGAAGCAAAAACCTATTTAATGATTAGATTTTTTTAGTTTGATGAATAATCTAGCCTTAGCAAGCGTCAGATATATATACAAACCAGGAAAAGACTGAGGAGCTCCAACAAGATGAAAATTTTTTTGAAATTCATCGTTCAGGATACTTGTAGTGTAGATTTCTTGCAGGAATTGAATTTAGTAAAGTTGAGTGTTTGCCTTTGCTTTTCAATACTTGACTTTTTTTGTTGAGACTTATGCAAGTAGTTTTTTATATCAAAATCCATGGAAACAAAACACATGATGGTTGATCTTTAGTATAGGTGAGCAAATATGATTTTTATATAATTATATAATATATATAAATTAACTATTTTGAATCAAGTTAAGTAAATTTACAAATAGTTAGGATCAGGGTTAGGGTTATAATATAAATTGACTTAAATTAGATGGGTTTTATATATTATAATTTTGCAATAATTTATATATGCTCACCTATATTAAAGGAGATCCCACATGATTATTACTCATAGCATATCCATGACACATGGTCGAATCGAAATAGCCCAAATTTCGAAGTAAGGAGGCTAGCTAAACCTTCCTTTGTAAATGCTTGTTGTTTATAATCACAAGCTAAATCATACTCTTTTTATACAACTAAATGAATAAAATGATGTACACTGCGATATACATGACTGGAAGTATAACGATAATTATACTAAGGTTATTATCGTGAGGATTGTCCAAGTCTAACTAAAAACGGATATGAAATTAGGAATAGGGTGTCAACGGTCGGTCATGGTTGGTTTCGGTCAGTAATCATCAGGCATGAGTCATGACCGAACCGATCGCGGTCATGATCGATGGGTAATTTAAAATTTTAATATCAAGCATTATTTAAATAAGATAACTGCGCAGCACGCAGGACCAGCATGATCACAGCAAGTAAAATTCAAATTACAGTATTATACTTGAATTGAAATGACTTATCGCTATTATAAATACATAATTATGAGACTGAATTAACATAGTAACACCACTAACTCATTAAGACACCAATTATATCTCACCAAAAATTTCACTTTAAATAGAAACTAATTATGAGATATAGTGTAATATAGACTTGATTAGCTTTTTGATACACCTATATTATATGTAATATAAAGGGATAACCAACTTGAGTGATTAAAAATAAGAAAAAATTTACTGGGAAAGATAACTAATATATCAGCTGCTTATGCTGCCGATATGTCAGTTATACTTTCCCAGCAATTCTTATGCAGGATTATCCAAATATAACTCACTGCTATTTATACTTATCCAATTGAAAAACTTATTACTGTTGCTAAATTCTAGGTACAAAAAACTTTGTTCATTTTCCGAAACCTCTTCTATCATGTCTAAGAATTATCTAGCTTTTTCTGATACTCAAATATAGAGACAGCAATGTAGTTTTCCAAAAGTTGGATGATTCATAAACAAGCTCGACGAGGTTTCAAAAAATGAACAAACTTGGTGTCTTAAAATTTACAAAGCAGTTGTAAATATGAATAAAAAAAATATTTAATTAAATAAATAATTTTGATAGTAAACACGATTGTTAAGACAAACAGAATTAAACTTCGTACTTACCCTGGTAATTTATTAAAAGATTAAATGATTACATTTAATTATACATTCTTTTAAAACACAATCATTAAAGTAAACAGAATTAAACCTCACACTATCCTAGCGATTTATTGAATGATCAAATGATTACAGTTAACTATACACATATTCTCTTAAAACATAATTATTAAAAACTATGGTTAATCATATATACATTCTCTTGAAACGCAATTGTTAAATGATTACAGTTAATCATACATTCTTTGAAGCATAATCGTTAAACAAAATTAAACTTCATACTTACACCATTGATTTATTGAACCTTCAAATAATTATAGTTAATTATATATACATTCTCTTGAACCACAAGCATTAAAGTAAACAGAAATAAACATCATACTCACCCTGGTAATTTATTGAATGACCAAATGATTACAGTTAATTTTACATATATTCTTTTGAAACACAATTGTTAAAGTAAACAGAATTAAACTTAACACTCATCCCATTATTTACTAAATGATCAAATAAATATGGTTAATCATACAGACATTCTTTTGAAACATAATTGTTAAAGTAAATAGAGTTAAACTTTATACTAACCTCAGTGTTTTATAATGCTATAATGATAATAACAAAATTATGTCATATTTACATCATAATAATAAATTTTAAAATTAATATATAATGACAAAATTATGCCAATAACAATAAATTATAATCCGAACATTATACTAGTACAGTCAGACATCTCTAAATGCAATGCGACGGGACCATATGCAAAAATTTAGCAAAACGTGCATTTAGAGAGGTATTGCATTTAGGAAGGTAAAGATCTATAGGTGTAATATAAGTTGGGCCCAAGAGAAGACGTGCATTTAGAAAGGTTTTTCATGGGCATGCATTTAAGGGGGCCTGATTGTATATTGTATGAAAAATTTTGAGCTATTATTTTTAAACATGAACTAAATTACTAATAGTATTTTAAGTTTTATATAATATTATAATTTAATTAGTAATCAATTTTGCATATTAGTAATGTGATTTAGATTCCAAATATATTATATGTAACATGTTTTTAACTAACTAGTATATTCTAAGGTCTAATGATAAAATTATCATTAGTATTAGATTACATATTATATATATTTATATACCTCCAATATGTTATAGTTAACAATTAAGAAATACTAGTATTTTTAATTTGTTGTAAAAGATGCAATATTAAAGTATATTCAATAAATAATTTCTTGTAACAAATAAGATTATTCAATAGTTCTTTAATATTAATTTTTTATTTGTCATCAGTCTTATATTATTTATTATATTTTAACATTATATTCTTTATAAAAATCAAAAATTTTATTAATAATTATTATATAATTGCATAACTTTATATTAATAATAAGTAGTTGCACAATTTTTTTAAGTGAAACCAGAAATGGAAGAAATCTACACAAACATCATTTCACTTACAAAAAACCATATTTTTCATTGCAATCTATTTCTGTAATAAGAAAATGACTCTTTATAAAAGAAGTTGATAGTACTTGCAATCTGAATATTGGTTTAATTTCAATGACTGAGCCTAAAAACCTATTGTTATAGGTTTTTGATCAAGTTCAAAGATGGGGCAAATGTGATGGATTGTCACTTAAAAAACAATTGTGTCATGTAATATTCCTTAAAGATATAGAGCCAGTTCTTTAATTTGGCACAAGGTCGAGTGATCAATAAGGAGTATTACAAAATGAGTATTGAAATTTTTTTAAAAAGCATATTGTATTAGTTTAAAAGAATTTTTATTAGTTGTATTATCTTGTAGAAGTAATACAAAAATTATAGTTATATTATTATATAACTTTAAACTATAGGCTTGAACTCTACATTTAAAAGAAAGAAATTCTATTTCTTTTATAATAAATTGATCACAAGAAGAGCCTGCATAAGACTATGATTCTTCTCATTATTTCTAATGCATTCCAACCATTTTTGTTCTAACTTTTACCCCTCCTACATAGTTTTTTGTTACTTTTACATTTCTTATAGTGGTCATAAAACTAATGAGAAATGTTTTAGTTTTACTATTCTGAAGCCAGAACCCATTATATTAACTTCAATCACATCCTCTTTGACATTACCTTACAGTTAATTTAAGTAGGGTAGGTAGAGTAAATGTTTATTTCTAGCATGAATAGGTTGTTCAGATTGACTTTCTTTATTTGAAGAGTAGTAGGGTCTCGCATAAAGGCTTGTGTCTGTTATATGGCTTCCTTTAGATCACATGCACATGTTTTAAATAAATTATTATAGGCATTTTCAATTAGGTTAGTATGTAAAAATAATATCTATTTTACAGATTCTATAAATATCAGTTTTACCTCTGACTTGAGATGCAAAAATTGAGATTTTTTTAAATTTATTGCACAGCCTGCACAACCTCAGTCTCTAGAGTCTTTTACTTATTAGATTTCATGTTTATATATATAAAACATCTATTTTATATGCATAAAGTTGGACTCTCATTATTTTAATTAATGCTCCAAGGTTAGTTTAAATGTTAGTTTTTATTGTTTTGTATTTTTTTTTACTTTTTTTCTGCATATTGATAAATTAATAATTCTAATCAAATTTGCAAATTATTTAGCCAGATCTAGAACAAAACAACTTTAAATATAGTCAAATAATCTGCATGTTTAACTAGAATTATGAATAATGAATTCTATTAATCAGGTGATACAAATTTATTTTTCTTTCAGGCTGATCTGAACTAATTTCTGATTGGTAATTCAAATCTTGATTATAAAGCTGAACAGAATTATAATAATTGCACTGCATAGTTTAAAAAATGTCTGTGCAATAAAATACTGCACAGGCTGCATAGTGTTCTATCTCTATCTTTGATATTATTAATAAAGTCAAGATCTGACTACTATATAGTTAATTAGCTAACATAATTCAGTTCTAATAAATCTGATTCAAAATTTTGAGACTTTGCAAAAATCTATAAAACATATCTGTATTTAGAAATAATTGACAAGTTCTTTTGATTAAATCTTTGATGATAAGTAATTATCATTTTATCAACTTGATAAAAAATTTAATAAAAAAAAATGAAAATTACCAAATATTTAGCATTGAGGCCTTTAAACTTATATTGGGACACTAATTTTTATGTCTAAAAAACTTATTTTTATTATCTTTTGTTATAGCATCTTTGATTTTACAAATGTATGCACTTATTTAAGTTTTTTTAAAAAATATTGAATGATGAATAAGTTATATGAACTAATCAATTTCAAGATTTTGCATATAGAGGCATTTGTTTCTAGTATTTATTTTTTAAAGTATTGTTCAAGGTACTATACAAAGTCACAATAACAGATTATCCAATTATATACTAAAAATTGTACATGCATATTTGAGTAGCTAGTAAACTATAATATATACTCATATGTATAAATACAGACACAATAGTCAAGCCACTAGTATAAGGTATAAAATAGTATGCAAAAAATAGGCAATATATAACAATATGTAATGAATAGAGTTACAAGAACCAATCAAGTGCTGAGAATTGTATATGCATATTAACTGCCTGTAAACCATATACTTCTTTGTATATTGTATAAACTCTGTTCCCAGTATAATAGATTTTAATTAGTTATTAAGATAATAC